GTCACAATTCCATATAATTTGGTCATAAATTTCATAAAATTGGTCACATATTATTAATTGATCATAAATCATAATTTTTATATATCACAAATTATTTTACAGTCACAATTCAAAAAATTTATAGGTCACAATTTGTTCATCACTCACAAATTAAAAATTTATACGTCACAATTTATTCATATCACAAATCTATCAAATTAATAAGTCACATATTATTCATTGGTCACAAATCACAAATTTTACATCTCACAATTCAAAAAATTTATTCGTCACAATTTATTTATCGGTCACAAATCACAAGAATTATAAGTCACGACTTATTAGACAATCACAAATTATCAAATTATCGGTCACGTGTTAACAATTTTTTAGGTCACATTATTTTTTTGCTCATAAATTATGGAATTTTAAGGTCACATTTTAATAATTGGTCACAAAAACTATCCCGCAACCGCCACTACCACAACACCACCACTAGATCCAATACACTCCCAACAAAAATCATCACAACCACCCGTCATCGCTGCCACCAACAACCACCACGGCTATCGCCACCACCATCACCACACCGCACTAGCAACACCATGCACATACCACCAGTCACCATCGCAACCACCGCTAAAACAACACCACACACCATCGCCCAAGAATCAACAAAACCACCGCCCAACCACCAACAAAGCTGCCGCCACAACCACCTCACCACCACAACCACCAACATTGCCGCCACCACTACCTCGCCACCACAACTAGAACGCCGTTGGTTGTGTGTAGTTGCTCTCAGATCATATCCAAATATCAGAACAGTTGGCGGCTTCCACTAGCTCTATTCCAATCACCTCTGGCTGCTTCTCAACCCGTCTTCTTCGTCTTCCTCTTCCCCTATCGAATGTTTCTACTTGACATTGCCCTCTTCCGGCTTCGATGGTTGTGCTACAATCGAAGGCTCGATGGCAGAAAATTAAAGCAGATCTACGAACGGCAACAACGCCTCTCATGGTGCCATGTGTTGCTGTGCATCGACTTTGTTTTTTTTTTCCCTTCGATGTGTGCAGATTTGAGATGTTGACCGACTAGAGGTGTCGTGAGCCTAACATCTACGGTGCTCCGATGGTGGCACAACAAAGAGAGAGAGAGAGGGAGAGAGAGAGGATGTGAAGAAGAGGGATAAAATTAGGGTTTTAGGTTTGAGTAATTATGATTTAGAGAGAGAAGATAGATGAATTAATATTTGATTTTTGTATAAATAANAATGAGAGGTTAGAGAGAGAATGAAGATGTGAAATGGTTTTTTATTTTTTAGGGTTTGGGTAATTATAATTTAGATAGAGAGGAATTAATATCTGATTTTTGTATAAATAAAGTTTATATCTAAAATTTGAAATTGAAACTTTAAAATTCTGATTTTTTGTAATTTCCACAATATAGAATTGATAGATGGTTTCAAACCATATTAAAAATTGAATTTTGCTACTTGTACATAAAAAATAAAATGTACATAATGGATTATAAATATGGCGTGGAGTGAAATATGTGATGAAAAAGATAATTGTGTTTTAAATTGACAAATAGTTGAGTGCCATATGGCGTTTTATAATCCATTATATAAATCTTAATAAATATATAGTAAGATCCATAAAAATTAGATTTCTATTTGGTTTTCATTTCTTAAAATTCATTTTTTTTTTCAAATTCATTTTTAATCGTACATTTTATAGGAACCATAACTTCTATCAATTTTTGTATCAAATATTTTATCAATTTTCACCAAAATTTTCTGAAATTTTGATTTTTATCAAACACAAAATAGGGGCTAGATTTCAAAACGATAGTACATGTCAACTTCTCATTCTTTTTTTTTTATGGGTCCCGTTTCTCAAACTTATATTGTGTTGCCCTCGAGCGTCAGTTACAGAAATTTGTCCTTTTGTGTTAAAGTGGTAATAATTATGAGACATTGTGTCAAGGTGTCATAGAAGACTTTTTAACAGTGCAAGCCTCGTCTGTATTTTGTCTTTATTCCTTTATGTTTTGAGTCCCAACCTTAATTTTGTAACATTTGAGTCTTACCTTTGTAACATTTGAGTTAGAGTAATGTTATTTATCATTATAATGATGTATCATCGATGATATGTGGATTAATAGAATATGATAGTTCAATTTTCACGAGAGAGAGGAAAATTGAACTATCATATCTCATTATTCCCTTAAATTGTCACATCAACGATAATTCATCATTATAATGATAAATAGCATTATTCTTTGAGTTATTGAGTGAGATAAATATTTGATAAATAAACCTTCATATTGAATTAAGAAATAGAAAAAAGATATTCTTGTTTCTTACAATCTATTCCTATCGAAGTTTTTCATTGCTCTCGACTCAATTCCTCCCATATACGTTTAC